TCACGCCCCTCTGAAGTATGGTGAGAAAGTGGGAGTAAGGAAAGGTTCCCAAAAAATGGAAAAAGAGGAAAATCCCTAACCAGAAATAAAAAGAGGTGGTTATGTATTTAGAATTATCGAGGAACCCCCCGACGCCGACAGACCCACCCCGGTTTTGGTCGGCGTCAATAAAAGCGAGGCCCCAACAGGCAGAAATCAGAGAGTTCGGGCTCGAGTTTCCAGAGTTGAGTTCCCAGAGTCAGTCTCCAGTTGAAACCGCCTCGCAGATAGCTGACCAAGATTCACGCAAATTCCGGACTCCTCTTCAACCCAAGAACAATTATTTTGAAGAGCGACTTAGATCCAGGCCACCGAATTAAGTTTTTTCTCGACTTTCGTCCAAAGACACACCGAAACGCCAATTTCTTAGAGAGCAAACAACTTGAAGCGTTAAAACTTGCCTAACGGAAACGACGTGTCACAATCCACAGAACTGGTCGGGAGATAGATGCAGTCCTATGTATCGAACAACTAAACATAAAGTTTGTTACCTTTTTCTTTGATACTTTGAAATTTTTGGAGTTTTCATTTTATTTTCTTTTATGCATATTTGTGTAGTATCACCCCCGTTGAACTCAGTTTGCATTACGGCCCCAACCACTGTTTGATCTCGTCTGCCTAAGATCAATTCACAACGTGGGTAGGCGGACTGGAGATCAATGCAGTTACCTTGGTCACCAGGCGTTGGAAGCGAATTGGGAACGACGAGGCTGATATCAAATCTAACCAGATTCCCACCCGAATCACCAAAAGGTTAGAACGTCACATTTGGGTGCCGCGACCGATACCAAGCCAGTTGGTCGTCACAGGACGAGACAACACGACTGACGCGACAGGCGGACGTCACGTTTGGAGCAGCGACATCCGAACGGAGCAGCGAGGAGCGAACAGCTGGCGCCGCGGCGAGGACGTCACAATTGGTGCTGTTTGGGGACGTCACAACTGGCGCCGTGGTAGATCAGGATAGAACGTCACAGTCGGCGCTGCGACCGGGGGACGTCACAATGTTAGAAAGAATCAGAAGGAATTTGAGTGACTTTCTGCATCCCCAAACAAATAGATAAACGAAATTCAAAATGCAATTGAAAAACGAGACATATTCAATTAGAAATCAATACAACATTTATATACAAATCAAACAATATACAGACAGGATAATTGATGTATGTTTGTAGGCGAAATTTGTATGCGGTTTCTTCAGATTTCAGAATCTCTCTTCGTAATTGTTTTTCGTTCATTTGGAGTATTTTTGTTTATGTCGATATTTGCGATTGTTGATATTAAGTGTCTTATAGAAAGAGTTTTTAAGAGTGATCTACCTTTAACTGTAATATTTTCTAAGGTCGTTCGTTCGTAAAATTTACTTAATAAGTAGTGAATTTGATTCACTTTAGATAAGCAAAGTTGATAAATGATGTACACAGAGTTGATTGAATCTTGATAGAGTATGAGTCAGCGATGTATCTTTTTGCGCGGCAAAATCGTGATTCGTAGTGATATGGAGTATTTTGGAAGGTTCTCTGTGAATGCGAAAATGTTACTGACTGTATGAAGTTGGTAATTGTCTTTAACGTCTGGTCAGCAATGACTAAGACGGAGTCGGTGAATGTTACATCTTGAAACTTGGTAATTACTGCTCGGAAGGTTCACACGTTTTCTGTTTATATAATCATTTGAGTGGCTCCCCAGCATAAGAGCGGGAAAACAGCTTGGTCGCGTCAGGCGGTTTGATTGGTCGGAACTGACCAATCAGCAAGCCAGATTGGAGGTGATTGACCAATGAATACTTGTTATATTGTCTGAAGGTAGAATTTGGCTTACTAGATAGGAAGAGTGTATTTCCTACAAAGAGGTAAGGCTGGTTGTGTTGTGGGAGATTCTACAAGTTCAAAATAATTTTTATGTTCAACTTAAAATTCTCCTGCGGTTGGGTTACGGAAAAAGAATTCAAAGAAATTTTCTCAAGCACGAACAGACAAAAAAGACATTTCCAAAATTGTTATATGTCCCAGAAACGCTCGTGGGACAAGTAAACGTAGATGTTTTCATTTTTTTCTGAAAGGTGGTTGCATCTTTGCTTTTCGGCCATCTTGAATTGTTTTCTCTGTTGGTCTTTTTCTGAATTATAATCCTTTTTTATTTTCAATGGAAATCCTTTTTTGCAATATATTTATAAAAGTTATCCTGCCTTAATTATTTATAAGACGCATAAAAGGAAATTAATGTAATTTTTTGTATCTTTTTTTCTTTTTCTGTATACTGTAATACAGTGTAACCCGGATATAAGAGAAACCCGGATATAAGAGAGATTTTCTCTAATCCCAAATTAGAGCCTGTGTTAATGTATATAAAATAGACCAAACCCGGATATAAGAGAAACCCGGATATAAGAGACTTCTTCTCCGGTCCCGACAACTCTCTTATATCCGGGTTACACTGTAAATGTTTTTACTTTAAAATTTTGCGCAGTGCTTTGTTGAGTCTTGATTGCGCCTTATATAACTTTCTATGGCTAGGTTTTTGTGTTTGGCACAAGAATTTGGTTGGGCGTTAAATATTTTATATGTATCATTTAAGTCGCTAATGTAAACAAGATTCATATTCTAACATGAAATTTGAAAGAAAAAATTATTGCAATGGTATAAAAAGCAATAAAAAAACGCTTACAAATAAATTTGCACGCAAATGCGCCTTACAAATTAGGCAATACAACTAATTGAAACATTCATTAGAATATTTAGTTAGACTCATAAAACTTGATATAAATTTTTCAACAAAATGTCCCTGCCCTTTCATTGATATTCAACATTCAAAAAAGGATTTCAAATTTAGCGTTTAAAATGAACTGCAGTATTGAGATAAATCTCTCTCTCTATCTCTCTTTTTTTTTTGTCTTTTTTTTTCCCGCAAATGTTTAAAACCATGATTAATACCTGTAATCAGTGACGTGCAGAGATATGGTGATGCCCGGGACCAACTGTTTGACTGTATGTCTCTTAAGACTCAAATAGGGAGTGGCTACTCCGGTCTTGCTTATTAAAACATGGATCCATATTCACGGCAGCTTGTGGGACAACGAAGTTAACAGAGACAATTTCAAATACAAAATTTTTATTTCACTCTTTGATTGGATGCTCTCTCGATATGAATGCTCGGGGCCGTCGCATCCTCTGACCCCACTACGCTACTGTCTGTAATTTTAGGAATCGTCTTTCAGTTTTCTTTCTTTCAGATTCTTTTTATTGTCGTCGTCGTCGTCGTCAGTACTAAATTATCCGCAGCTCGCGGTCATTCGCATGTGAATGCCAAAATTCTTCTGGTCCTTAAGCTAAGTTATTTTCTTAAATAGCCTCAAAACCGGCTCTAGATTCAATCCCAATGTGTAATTTGTGGCGGAAATTATTTTCTTCATTGATTTAAAAAAAAAAAAAAAAAAGAAAGAAAAGAAAACACACAACAAAATCTTTTTTAAGCCACGCCCTTTTCACCGACTTTTGGCGGGTTTTCACACCATAAAATCTGAGTCACTTTTTTATAAATTTGAAAGGCAAGCTTAATCCTGGCGGTATTTTCCAACATCGTATCTGAGCCTCTTTTTTTGTTGCAAATTTGAAAAACAAATTGTACACCTGAAATTTATTCGAGCCATCATGTTATTAACCATCTGGTTCTCTCTCTCTTTTTTTTTATTCTCAAGAAAGTGCAATAATAAACAACCCTAGTCAGTTGTATCATTATTTAATCTTTTATATTTACATTTCTCTTTTTTATTATATAATTTTTTTATACTTCCCCCTCAAAGGAAAATGCAATCAATAAACCCATTTTGTTTAATCATTTAAGCTAAGTTTGATAACTGATTGCACTTTCTTTTGGTGGAGTGTAAACTTCATTATTATTAATTATTTTTTATTATTTTTACCCATGAATTATTTTTATATAAATTTTATATTTTTTATTAAATTTTTATAGATGACTTAATGAAAACTACTGACACCGGTGCTGGCCTTTGAGGGGATATTTGAGAAAAGTAAAAATTAAAACTGGAAAATAATCATACACCCGACTACCATAAAACTTAAAAGTTGCCAACTTCTTCGACTCGAAAATGATGAACCAGCTCGAGAGAGTTTATATAACTGAAGCAAGAAAAAAAAAAAAATCAGTTTTCCTCCGGCACGTTCGTTTTTTAGTTAGAATATAATTTTATTTTTATTTTAGTTAGGATTTTTGTTTGTTCTTGCTAGAATTTTATTTTCCAATGTAAAACAACGTGTTGCTGGCGGCAATAACTCATTTTTTTTTCTACTCGTTCGAATTGACCTTGGCTAAAAAAATATGACATTCATATGTAGTAATTAATTATTACTTGCGAAATATTCAACTACTATTCATCATTAAATAAACAGGTTTTTATTTTCGTTTTGTTTTAAGGACTGAAAGACATAAAAAAAACTTGTGATGGTGAAAATTTTTATTTTTGCGTGTAGGAATATTTAAAAATCAGCATGTACTTGTGTGTTTACGTGAGTTTATAAGATTTTACTTTAATTTAACATCTATTAAAGTACGATTAACTTGCGTCATAAGTTAATGAAGTTTCTCAGGCATATAATTTATTATTATATTAACTTTTTTCCTTATGAAAACTTAATAGAGATGTAAAATAATCCTTTCTATTTTCTGAGCGAGTATTCCGTTCCGGCTTTCATTCCGTATCTTTCAATTTCTAGATTTGTATTCATTCACTTATCATAACCGGAAGTGACATTCATTCATGGCCGCTGAGTGTCGGCCTTGCTTGAGTGTAGTTGTCGTCATCGTTATCTTATATTTACTCGTTTTTGCGATTGTATTCACCTAAATTACCAGGACTTTCCGTTGCAGCTACATTTTATTTATCAATACAGAAAGTATGCTCATTCTGCAGCGTCATTTAGATACAGAATCGGTGCCTTTATATGCACCGAGCGAGACTTAAGTCTTTCTCTTCGTTAAAAAGAAAGAAAAAAAAAACAATTGTTACGTACACGTGAGTATCATTCATGTCATCCTTGTTGATGCTGTAAGAGCTTTCAAAAGAAGTAATTTTTTTTTTTTAATTTTTATCTTTCGAATCAAAATTGTCTTCGTTTTTCTTGACATCATTCGTTATAAGTTTTATGGTACATTTGTTCTCGATTTCCTTCGCTGTTGACGTGGGTTGCTTGACTAAAATTTCTCCTACTTTGTTGTAGCCATTTTGATTTTACAGAAGACCAACAGGAAAAAAAAAACACTTTTTTTTTCATTTCTATGCATCAGATACATTGTTATGATACTTTTTAGTTTTAACCTTTTTTTTTTTTTTTTTGTCAAGCTCCACCGTTATAGATTTCAAATCTGATTTTAATTCTCGCCCTAATGGCTTTTTCCATTTAAGTGTCAATGTCATCCGTAATTTTTGACGTAAAACTGTTTTTGGTACGATTTTTTTTTTCACTGACAATTTTTGAAAGATTTTTTTTTTTTTTTTTTAGATTATTTATACTATTTCACTCTTTATATTTCTGACTATTATGTTTATATTGTGATAAATAAACATTTAACACTTATGCTATATAAAATCTATTCATTATTTCTGTGTAAGACTGAAGAATTGCTGGTGTTTGCAAATAAATAAAAATAACCATCTTCGGTATTTTTACGATTTGTTACTGGAATGAATCACTTTATTTTCGAGATTGTCATATTAAATGATTTAAATGTGTTCATTATTTGTTTATTTATTTATTGAAACTTCGAAATGTTTTAATTATTTTTAAATTGATGATTTTTATTTCATTTGCATAAAAAATGAAAATGATCGTAGACGTAGCGTCAACATTTTATTTGCTATTTGCAACAATCATAATACATTTCAAAAACTTAAAATTTATTTACTGAGTCAGTTTGTTTTATTTATCCACAAAGCAAATCACAAAAATGCGATGATTATCATCAGAAATAAAATTAGCATTTCTTACTATCACTTAGTTTTAACGTGAGTAAAATCTGCATGGAAAAATGTAGTTAAATTTTATGATTATTTTGTCGACGGTTACTTTTTCAAACTACTAAGCAAATACGATCATAACATTAGTCAAGAATTATATATATAAATATTGGAATTTTTGTCTGAATTTTTTAGATGAAGAATTATCACTATGATTTGCATTATTCCGATCAGAATTCTCACAGTTGTTATCCTTATAGTGTTTCGGCCTTTCTACTCTTCAGCCTTCTTCAGGTTCCTCTCACCATTGTACATCTCTGAGTTGAACCACTTCTTGTCCAATCCGTGCTTTTCATGCTTAAGGAACATCTTGTATAAGTCTTGAACAGCCAATATCTATACTCATCAATCTTATCCACCTTTGTCTCACCAGTCTGTTTTGTCCACTGACGTTTGACGACTGCCAGACTTAGGGATTGAACTCACTCACCACGAGATTGTTTGAGACCTAGTGGCTTAAAGCATTTAGTTTTAAAAACCTATCTCATTCACTGGAGGTTGTGAATTCAATCCCTGTCTCATCTTCACAATGTTTCTGCCATTGTACTTTGCTTTGAATACAACAAGCATCTGATGAAGGCCAAAGTGTATAACAGCCGAAATGCTGTAAGTATACTCAGAACGGAAGAAAAGTATTTAATGATGTCAAGAAAAAAATGAATTTGGTTGTTAATTAGTTTTACTTCATCGCTTCAAGTTTCCTTTCCCATGACTCTCACCATTTGTTTGATTCTTCTTAATAATTCTGTATTTCATTTCAGCCATTGTCTACAGAATATCTTGATTTGTCACAAATGTAGCCAAAACAGTAATTCAGTCTTCTTCACTGACTTTTACTGATTTGCTCCAAAAATAAGAGTTTAGATATGAAGTGTTAGTACTTCATGTTTTGTTTTTTTTTTTCTTTTTTAAGTATATTCTTGAATTATTACCTTTACTCGAGACTGAAGTTTTTTTAATTTTAACTCTTTGTGGGTTTTCTTTCATCTGTGTGGAATGAAGGAAGTTTCTGATAAAATGAGTCTAAAGCTATTGGTGATACTAATTCAAAAGTAGGAAATTATTTTGTTGTTTAATATTCTCATTGGTTAGAATAGTCTTCTTTGCTAACTAAAACAAAAAAAGTGAGGTTAAAAAATACTTAAAAATAAGATATTTGATAAAAAAGGAAAGTATTTTTACAAGTAGATTAAAAAGCCGATTTTTGTTTTTTCTTAAATCCTTTGCTTAAATGTCTCTGAACATATTTTGTGGTTACTACTTACCTGCTTCATTTATAAAGATGCTATACTTGAATAGGTAAATGGTAGGGGGTAGGTAAATGTGTCTTGAACAGCCAATATCTATAGTCACCAATAACCACACCCACACTTTCTGAAGTTTCACTGGTAAATCTTTGGCAAAGAAGAAAAAGCCTCAGGTTTCAAATTCCAAATAAATAGATAAAAGAAAATAGATATTATCAGAATCTGCTTTTAAAGAAGACTTGAGAGCAACAATAAATTTCATGAAGACTTGTAATCTATCTACATTTAAATAGGTTAATTTTCAAAATCCTTTCATCCATGAATAGAAGCTCTTGAACAGAATCAATTCTAGTTTGTAATTTAAGTCATATAAAAAAAGATTTTGTTTGGGAATATTGTCAAATTTGTGTTCACCCTTATAATTACATAGCTTTAATATTAGCAATAACCCTTATGCTAAAATTACCATAGCAGCATTTGTTATAAAAGTTCTGGTATGTGCTGGTGGGAGCAGAAGGGAAGATTAACAGGAAAAAGCAATCCTGCTTGAATTTTAGGAATGCTATGCAACTCACTGGCAAAGATATGGGAGTACTGAAATTATTCATCTTATATTCCATTAATGTGTTGAAGATGAAGCCTGTGTGTCTGTACATGTGCAGAGTTTAGCAAGTTGGTTTGGCTGAGAACTTTTCAGTATCCCCTTGTACATACATTGCTTAAAAAGGATGCTGCTGAATTTTTTTTATTTAACCTGGGAACATGCATGCTACTTATTGGTAAATATTCTGATAAAATTTTCAGTGTTTGGTCATTTTTGATATAGAAACACTCATACTGGTGCATCATCTGTGCCTGAGCTTTAGATGGTGGTGTGCTGCAATAAGACTTTCTGTGTGATGCAGTAATTTAGTATAATAGGTATCATGCTATGGGGATGAATGCATGTCTTTTGTTCAGTTAGAGAGCCATTTTGAGAAGTGTTGGCTTGAGTGTTTAAGAGACTGTTTTTTTTTGGGGGGGTTTTTTAAGCATTTCACCTCAAGCATGACAATAAAACCACTAAGAATATAAGAGAATATAAGAAAAGAAAACATTAAGGAAAGAGAACAATAAAAGAACAGGAATTAAGAAATTAGAAGATAATGATTGGCATTAAATTTTCGAAGATCACTGTTGACTGGAAAGCAAATAATGAAACAAAAGAATTGCTGCACATGTTGGACGTGATGCATTGATGGTATTTCAACATTGGAAACAATGTGAACATTTCTATACCAGGTTCTAGATGGTCATGTAGTACAGATACTATCATTTTCATATTTTAAGGTTAGTAGAGCAAACTGTATGGTGTCCATAGCAGAGAGCAGAGCAAATGTGAACTCAGGATCGTTGACACAGATTTTGGGATATGATTTCTTTCAGCAAGACTATAGGTGTGTGCCTATTATCAAGACTTCCATTGTTAGGCATGTCTTCGGTGGTATTTTAAGTGGGTCATTCCAGCCAAATTCAACAGGAGTCTGGAATTGATATCTTTGTTTACTTCTATGTGATAGGTATATCCTGAAAATTTCAACTTCATCACTCCATCTGTTCTCACTTAATGATTGATCAAAGTTTTATGGCTTGTCTGCAAATTTTCAGTTTTTTTACTTTGTTCCAATTTTCATAGACTCACCATTTTAAATAACCTTTGTTGATAGTTTTAGCAGTTATTTCCCAATAGTAGCCCAAGTGTATAAAGACAATGAGAGTTATTGGTTTTATTACATTAGGCTAAAAATATTTTTAAATTGAAGTTATTGATAGTTATCGAAGCATTGCAATTCAGTTATTGCAAGAAGGTTTTTCCAGCATGTCTAAAAATGAGAAACAGAAAAATTGCTTTTTTTTTTTTTTTTCAGAATTTTAAACCTAAATAACTTGCTACAACTAGATTGAATGATTCAAAATTATCCATATTCTAAACACACACCTGGAGGTGTACGAAAAACAAGTAAAATTTAAATATTGAAATAAACCCTAAAGTTTAGTCCTCCTGAAAATCGGACAAATTCAAACATTTCAAAATTTTTGATAATTCAGAATTCCAGAAAGTTATATGTGGCAATTAGAACAGTTTTCAAATCTAATTGCCCTTTATGATTGATGTCTTAACTTCCCCAAAAAGGTTGAGTGATTGGCAAATCAACCTCTCCTTGATCATGATGGGGTTGCCAATTCAAGGGGTAGAATTAATTTTTCCTTTTGGCTGAATGAAGCAAAATAGGAACTAATGAGTTTGAAAATTTAGCAAATCTCTATAAAATAAATCATATCAAGCTTATTAGACATATTTCATATCCTTGTAACCAACATACACATATATATATATATATATATATATATATATATAAACTTCCAGATAAATTAGTCCTCTGTAACTAATGATCACATGATTAGAATTCTTGTATTCATAGTTTAAGCACATATCGTAAAAGTTTAGGGATTGAATCTAGAATGCCTTACAATTACTATTGTTCAACAACAACAAATATCTAATACTGAATCTAGAATGCCTTACAATTACTATTGTTCAACAACAACAAATATCTAATACTGAATCTAGAATGCCTTACAATTACTATTGTTCAACAACAACAAATATCTAATACTGAATCTAACTTCTGTCAAATCATGAACAAAGAATGAGAAACAAAGTTATGCAAAAAAAAAAGAAACAGATCAAGTGAATGAAGTATTTTGAAC